CCCTTGGGAGGACGGAAAAGGTGAAGCCACTCGATTATTGAAGTAGGACGGCGCTTAAAGTAGATTGGAATCTGGGACTCCCAAAATACCTACTTTCAACGACCGATGGGCATACTTTAGGACCCCCCCTGGCCCCCAAGGCCCCTCCGAGGACCTCCAGACAAAACCGCGAGGGCCCGAGAGGCTTCCCAGAGGGCCCCAAAAAGACAGCCAAGAGGACTCCAAGAGGCCGCCAACAGGCTCCCACCGATTTCCGTCGGTGAGCCACCACTGCTCGACCGGGGGAGGAGGAGGAGGAGGAGGGGGAGGGGGAGGAGGGGGCCCTTCCGAGCCACAACTGCTTGATCCAGGGGAAAAGAGGGGGAACATACGCTATTTCTACTTCCCTGGTCGCGACTGTTCGCCTGGGCATCGTTTCTGGACGGGCTGCTGGAAATAAACGAAATGGAAAGAATTACCGTCACCCGTACACTTCTCGGGGATCGGCGGAATGGCGAAAGCCTCTCGAGTCCGCCCGCCCACCAGAACAGGGGCGCGTGAGATTAAGTGTGAGAAGTCAGAACAAGGGTTTAGCCCTCCCCCTTCCACTCCGCAGAGGCCTCTGCCATTCCGCCGCCCGGCTGCGGCCGACGCCCTTTTCTGGCTCCACGACGGCTTCCAAAACGAACTCGAATTTCAGACCGTTCCCAGCACGCGTTGGGGCTTCATTGTGGCTCCATGTTGGTCCCTTCGGGGCGCCTTCTTGGCGTCCACAATCGACTCCGCTGGCCCTCAAGAACGCACATTGGGCCCGATGTCGCCCATAAAAACTGAAACTTCAAAATTAAAGCAAAATCAGTAAGTGCTTTCATCAGTTTAGCCTCGAGAGGGGTCGCACGGACGTCTGGCATAATTGTCGGGCCCGTCTGGAATAATTCTCAACATGCAAGTTTCGACACCACTTTGAGCGCGATCCGTCGTCAAATCCAGACGATCATGAGCCAAAATGGGGCTCCAAAACGGAGGCCAAACCGGCCCCGAGCTGGCCCAACGTTTGGCCTAGCTCTTCCTGCAACTCCGACAGGGTTGTGGCCCCACGCGCATCACCCGGGGCGTGACCCGCCCCCCCGGGCGGCTCGCTCCCTCCGCCCCCTCTTTCGGCCGCGTCCTCCGCCTTTCCTCCGCGTCCTCCCCTCCTGCATGGTGGCACAATTCACTTCAACGGCATCCCCGTTGAGGCCGTTCCACTGGCGCCGACGACCCCCTGCCGCGCCGCCGACGCACCAAACATGGCCGCACGCGGAGGTGCCGTCGCCTGGGCCGTCCAGGGCCTCCTCTGGGCCGCCTCGAGCCCTCATCGGCTCCCCCTTCTCGGGCTCGAGCCCAGGGCCCACTGCGGCTGCGGTGGGCGCGCTTGGTGGGCGCCTCTTGGGCCGTCCTCGGGCGGTACGTGGCTGCTCTGGCGCAGCGGTTCTGGAGGAGTCCTTCGCCATGTTCGGCATCCTGGCATGCCGTCTTGGCGCCGCCTGCGTCTCTTCTGGTGAAAACTGGAACGGGCGGGGGGTGAACGCGAAGCGTCTTGAATAGGAGGGGAAGGATGCGGAGGAGGAGGAGGAGGAGGAGGAGGACGACGACGACGAGGAGGGGTAGCCAAGGCAGCCTCGACCACAGGAGGACTCGAGAGAAGACGCCGACGAGGACGACGACGAGAAGGAAAGCCAGTACGCCTCGGGGAGGAGGAACGAAGGGGGAAAGGGGGAAAGCGGAGGGGGGAGGAGGAAGAGGAGGAAGAGAAAGCGAAGGAGGCTGGGGCGCAGGAATAGGAGAAGAGGGAGGGAGGAAAGAACGAACGGCCACGGTGCGAGCAAGTCCCCAGGCCTGCTCGAGACCAGGCGAGCGAGGCCGTGACCTCCAGCTACGGCGGTGCGTGTTTAGACATGCAGGCGAGACATCTCAACATTGGCGTGAGGCAAGAAGAGGATGGGGACTGGGAAACCCTTGCAATCGATGTCGTCGTGTGCTGGTGGTGCCGTGTCGCTGAGTGGGTGTGTTCGTCACCGCTTGGTGGTGGTCTATAGTGCTCAATGTTGGTGGTGAGCAATGTTTCGGTGGTTGGGTTGGGGTATGTGCTGCTAATGTTGCTGGTCGTCGGTGGTGCTCTGTGCTGAGTTTGGTGTGGTGCTTGGTTGCTGGTGGTCGGTGCTTGTGGTCAGGTCGGCTCTGTCAGCACTACTGCTGCGCGGTTATGTCAAAGTTCGTAATGCCAGGAGGAGGAAGAAGAGAAGAAGCAAGGGGAGGAGGAGGAGGAGGAGGAGGAGGAGGAGGAGGAGGAGGAGGAGGAAGAAGGAGAGGAGGAGGGAGGAGAGGCGCAAGAGGGCAAGCTAGGGGCGCTCGCGCCACCTCTGACATCCCATCCCTCCCTACCATCCCTTCCAGGTGCACTAATTGCTTCATCCGCGGACGCGTGTCATAGCCGACCTGGAACTCAAAAAAACGCGTTATGCGCAATCGACAAGGGGATCTGCGTGCGTACATAGGGGGAGAAGGTGGCGGATGAGCAGGAGGATGAGCAGGAGGAGAAGGGGGAGGATGTAGAACGAGGGGGACAAGGACGAACAGTAGCAACAGGAACAGGAACTGGAGCGGAAGGAACGAGGAGGGCCAGGGGAAGGCGGAGGAGGGGAAATGGAGGGGGGCGGGGCGGACTTGGAGCCAGAAAAGTGGCCCACGCTGGAGCGAGAGCGCCATTCTGAACGACGGGAGCAAAGCGCCGATCACGACGGGAGAAAAAAGCGCCGATCCGAAAATGAGGCCCACGCTGCAAGCTGGAGCACCATACAGAAGCACCGAAAACGATCAACGTTTCACATCCTGCGCAACAGAGCAGTACCCGGAGAGAACCTGCCATCTTCCCGACGGAATCGGGGGAGAGAGCAGAATACGGTGGGGGGAAACAATTAGTGGACACTACCTCTCTCCCCCAATCTCAAACTGGGGACGCAAGGGGGAGACTGCGCCCGAATTCGAGCTCATCAGACCCACCGCCAACTCTGAACACTGGGGGGAGGGGGAGGCGTTGACCGAGGACTGTGGCATGCGTGCTCGCTATTTTCCGAGGCCTGTAGCATCCACACTCTGTGTAAGTGTGGAGCAAAGCGGGCAGGGGAAGTGGGAAAAAAGGGTCGGGTCGGCACACCTGAGCGGCGGCAGGTGACACAGTGTGACAGAACCGCCCCCATGCCGCGGCATACAGTCGGCCCGTATCAGAAGGACGCGCGCAAGGATGCAAGGGCCTTGGAGGCCCATCTCGAGGCTTTTCGAGCGCGGCGCGGCGAACGAAAGCGGCCAAGGATGAACCGAGGAGGCAGGGATGCAAGTAGAGGCCTCCTAGATGGGGTCCGAGTAGACGGGGTCGAAGGCGCTCGCCGCTTCGCCGATACATCGGCGATGCATCGCCGATGCATCGGCGATACATCGGCGATGCACAGGCGACGTCGGCGATGAATCGGCGACGTCGGCGTAGAGATACATGGGCCCCACATCGAGCCGCATCGCCGATGCATCGCCGATACATCGGCGATGCGGCGCGATCCTCCGACCCTACTCCCAAGGGTGCCTTCAGGAAGGTTGCCCATCCTTTTCCAAACTCCGCCTCGGTCGGGGAGACTAGGACCCCCACAGGAGGATCGTCGACGCGACGTGGGTGGGCCTTCAGCAAAATTCGAATTCAAAATAATCAGTCGTTTTTCTTATGACGATCGATCGCCATAAAAACTGCTTAATTCTGAATTCGGGGCTGGGACCCCCACCCGGAGAGGATCGTCGGCGTGGGTGGGCCTTCGGCAGAATTAGAGGCCTCCCATGATGGGGTCCGAGTAAATGGGGTCGGGGGATCACGCCGCATCGGCGATGCATCGCTGATGCATCGGCAACGCATCGCCGACGTCGGCGGCACCTCGGCGACGTGGGCGTGGAGATAGCCAGACTCCGCATCGAGCCGCATCGTCGATGCATCAGCGATGCGGCGCGATCCTCCGACCTCATCTACTCGGACCCCATCTGGGAGGCCTCTGATTCTGCTGACTGGCCTGGCTGGCTTGATTAGGAGGGCGTATGTACAGCTCCTGGGTTCATGATGGGCCTGGCCAGGGAGCAGTGGGCATGTATAGATCCGTCGCCCGAAGATAGGGCGGAGATCGGTGTAACAAAAAGAGCCCCGCCATCGGAGACGCCTGCCCCCTGGGCGGCTGCAAAGTTTACACCCGTAGGCGGCTGCAAAGTTCATACCCGTAGGGGTATAAACTTTGCAGCCGCCTTGGGGGCAGGCGTCCTCGACGGCGGAGAAGCTTATTTTGTACCGTTCTCCGCCCCCTACAGTCAAGCCGTATAGCCAGGATGCGCGATAAGGATGCACGGGCCTGCCTTGAACGCCCAACTCGAAGCCTTCCGAGCGGGGCGCGGCCAACGAAAGTGGCGAAGGATGGACCGAGGAGGCAAAGATGCAAGGGCACCCTAGGGAAGGTTGCCCGTCCACACTGTGCGGGCTGACTGAAAGGAAGGGCGAGGCGGGGAGAGCGCGAGCGGGGAGTGGGGCACCCCGCCTGCTTGATCTGCGCCTCAGCGCCGGCACGCTTGTTGTGGTCCGGATCCTCGGCGGGGCGGGCAGCAGGCAGCGGGCAGCAGCGTGGAGGTAGGAAGCGGAGGCAGAGGGACGGAGGCGGGGGAGGGAGGAGGGCGGAGAGAGGAAGGACGGCACACACACACACACACACACACACACACACACACACACACCCGCCGTGCGCCGGGAAGGGAGAAGGAGGGGAGGGGGAGGGGAGGGGGAGGGGAGGAGGAGGAGGAGGAGAGGAGGAGGAGGAGGAGGAGGAGGAGGAGGAGGAGGAGGAGGAGGAGGAGGAGGAGGAGCCAGGAGGAGGAGGAGGAGGAGGAGGAGGAGGAGGAAGATGCGGAGGAGGAGGGGGAGGAGGAGGGAGGGGGGGGAGAGGAGGAGGAGGAGAGGAGGAGGAGGAGGAGGAGGAGGAGGAGGAGGAGGAGGAGGAGGAGGTGGAGGAGGAGGAGGAGGGAGGAGGAGGAGGAGGAGGAGGAGGAGGAGGAGGAGGAGGAGGAGGAGGGGGAGGAGGAGGAGAGGAGGAGGAGGAGGAGGAGTAGAGAGGAGGAGGAGGGAGGGAGTGGAGAGGAGGAGGAGGAGTAGGAGGAGGAGGAGGAGGAGGAGGAGGAGGAGGAGGAGGAGGAGGAGGAGGAGGAGGAGGAGGGGGAGCAGGAGGGGGAGCAGGAGGAAGGGGGACCCGATGGAGCTAAGAGGGAGGAAGGGTGGAGGGCGCGGGCGGGGGGAGAGGGGAAGGAGGGGGGAGGCGGATGAGAAAAAAGGGCGAGGCAAAAGGACAGCACGCCGCCGTGGTCGTGGTCGCCGTCGTCGCCGTCATGGTTAGCGTCGTCGTCAGCGTCGTGGACGTCGTTGTCGTCGTCGTCGGCGTCATCGTCGTCGTCGCCAGCGTTGTCTTCGTCGTCGTCAGCGTCGTCGTCGTCGTCGTCGTCATCGTCGTCGTCGTCGTCGTCGTCGTCGTCGTCGTCGTCGTCGTCGTCGTCGTCGTCGTCGTCATGGTCGGCGGCGTCGTCGTCGTCAGCGTCGTCGGCGTCGTCGTCTTCGTCGTCGTCAGCGTATTCGTCGTCGGCGGCGTCGTCGTCGTGGTCGTCGTCGCCTGCGTCATCGTCAGCGTCGTCAGCGTCGTCGTCGGCGTCGTCATCGGCGGCGGCGTCGTCGTCAGCGTCGTCGTCGTGGTCGTCGCAGCCGTCGTCGTCGGCGTCGTCGGGTCGTCGTCGTCGACGTCGACGTCGACGTCGTGGAAGTGGGAGTGGGGGAGCAGGATGGGAGGCTGGAGAGGAGAAGGATGGAGGGCGAGGGCGAGGAGGAGGGAGGGGGGGGGCGGCGGCGGCGGATCAGCATGCGGTTAAAAGGACTCATCGGGGCAAAGTGGACGACCGCTGGGCGCTGTGAGGGCTACTGTGGGACCCGTCTCTCTCGTGACTACTTCTCAGACCTCCGACCTCGTACGCGATTCCTTGAGCTCTCGATCCTTTTCAGAGACCAGCTGTTCGACCCAGATTGCTTTTTTTTCTGACGGTCCTGGAGACCACAAGCTGCAGAGGCCGAAACGCAGCACAGCGCAGCGATCGACCGAGCAGATGGAAACGACTCGCCCTACACATGAGGCGGACATGCAAATACTACGTACTGTACGTGCATAACAAGCACACCCCTCCAGCGCGAGCAAACATCACGCGTGCCACTCTGTCATAAGATGCAAATAGTTTTCCTCGAAGGCACTTCATGGAAAACTCGTCCCTTGCCGCAGTGTTTCCTGTGGCGACCTCTCGACGACAAAAACCTGGCGCACCGTATCAGTCCAACGCGTCAGTGGTCTGCCCCGACGTCTTGGGCCGTCAGGTGTCCATCGCATGACAGTAGCCTGCGACGACCCTGGAACGCACAGACGTGGCATGAACTGCCAACGAAACCGATCTGAGGCAACAATCATTGCCCGCTCAAGCTTGCGTTTGTGGCGCCAGCCCGATTGAGAACCCACCCCCACTATCCGAAACATCTTTTCCAAAGCGGCTGCCAACCGTCCATGAGCAGTGTCTGCTGGTCAGTCCCAGAGGCCGTGCCGTACACAGCTGTAGGAGCGATGCCAGATTCGAGCAGCTTGCAACCTCAGGCGCCGCGATATGTTTCACCGCTCGTGCCTCTTTGGGTCCGAGGGGGGCCCCTTCAGAGCCCCTTTCGGGGCACAACAAATGCACCTCTCGTCACCCCCCCCGCGGTCGGACCTGAGACAGAAGAGCATCCCTCAAGAACATGAGGCCCTCCGCCAGCCAAAACACCCCAAACCATAAGATCACCGAGGGTACCCTCCCCCAGGATGCACAATAACATCTGACAATAGAACAAGAAGACAGAAAGAAAGAAAGAAAGAAAGAACGAAAAAACATTGAAAAAAACACAATACACATAAACTTCTGGCGCTCCGCGCGGATTTCTTGGATCTGCGCTGGACCCCCCCCCTGGCGCGCGGAACGCGCCAGGGGCGGCGCCGGAGGCGCCGCAGGGGGCGCCAGGCGCGGATCCAAGAAATCCGCGCGGAGCGCCAAAAGTCTGTGTTTATGGCGCTTGTTCTTCTTCGAAGTATCGCACCCTCCCCGAACCGACCTCGATCTCATACCTCGGGCCGACCTGGACGAGCGCGTGCCACTACTCGCAAAGTAGCTACTCGCAAATGGCCTGGATCCGCCACGGGGGATTACAGTGCGGGCGCGGCCGCAAGAAACCCTCGCAAGAAACCCAGCCCTGAGAACCCGTGCGCGAGGTGCACCTGAAGGGAAACACGGACCCCGAACGCAGCAGCTCCTTCAACGGCCGCGGGAAGTCACCGCGCAGCGCGCGGAGCGAAGAAACCCATGATACCCTGACGAACAGTAGATGGCCTCTTGATGCGCGCCCCCGAGGAAGACAGACGTTTTCAGAGATTTGCGAATGGGCACTTTGCGAGTAGCGGAACGCACCCGGTGACGACCGTGTCGCCCCCCTCTCTTGCGCGGCGCCCGGACGCCCTCGCCGCCCCTGCCAGCCACGGGAGAGAGGCCGCGCCCCGGGTCCTGGGTCGCCAGGAGCAGCTCCGTCAGGCCAGACATAGCGCTCCCCTGCCCCCCCTTCTCTCGCGTCGCGCGCAGGAGCTGCGCTGCGGCAGCTGACTACCTAACAGACCACCCCAACCCAACCCGAAGACCCGAATTTCGGGTTGGGGCTCCACATGTATTTTTTCCATGTTCCCCGACCCCCCCCACACTGGAAATGGAAGGCAAATTGAGGCCTTCGGGTCGGGTTGGGGTGGTTTGGTGGGTGGTGAGCAGCTCCTCTGCAAGCGAATATTCGCGGGGCGGGGGGGAGATTTGACCTTTGACCCGCCACTTCCATGCCCCGCTCTGCGAGTGCGACGCCCATGCACCGTGCCACGTCTGGGCTCCGTGCGGGCGGCGCTCCAACTCGCGGTACGGTGCATAGCTTGTCGGCCATGATGTCCGAAAATCTGCGCACCGTACCACTACTGGACCTAGGATCGACGCCGCCTCGGGAGACGAAGACGCGGCACGGTGCACACAGGTCGTCCGCGGACGTTCACTCCTCCATCTCCCCCCTCCCGGCGGCGAGCCTCGGAGAGGGAATCGGGAAGGAGCGGGCCTTCTCCTCGGAAGTCCCCCGACCTCATGAGAAGTTTGTCCTGAGCCTTCCCCGAAGACACCCAAAAAAACTTCTCAGAAGGCGCGAGGGTTTCCCTAGGCCTCCTGGATGGGGTCGGAGCAGATGGGGTCAGATGATCGCGCTGCATCGCCGATGCACCAGCAATGTGGCTCGATGTGGAGCCCGATCTTCTCCACGCCGACGTCGCCGACGCATCGCCGACGTCGCCGATGCATCGTCGATGTATCGTCGATGCATCGGTGATATATCGGCGATGCGGCGCGATCCTCCGACCCTACTCGGACCCCCCCTAGGAGGTCCCGAGTTTCTGCGAAGCCCCGTCGCCTTCTCCGAAGGCCTTCTCCTTCTCTAGAGGCCTCCTAAGTAGATGGGATCGGAGCAGATGGGGTCGGAGGATAGCGCCGCATCGCAAATGCATCGATGATGCACCAGCGATGTAGGGGCGTCGTCGGCGTGAAGCAAATCGGGCTGCACATCGAGCCACATCGGATGCATCGGCGATGAGGCACAATCCTCCGACCCCATCTGCTCCGACCCCGTCTTGGAGGCCTAGCTTTAGGTCGGGCATGTCCTTCTACAGGCGGATTTGGGGCGAACGAAGAATAGGCCAAACATGCTATCAAACAAACCCCCCAAAAATGGTAGGAAAATCGTCCCCCGACTATTTTTCACTATTCTTCAATACCCCTCCTGTCCAGAGAGGGACATGCCCGCCTTGAGCCTAGATTCTCGCGCCCCCCCCCGCTCGCCGCCGACCCTCCACCCCCTCTGTGCCGGGGCCCGCCCGCCCAACCCCCCAGCAGCGGCCGCCACCAGGGCCCCTTGCCCGCACCGACGGAGGCCCCGGCACAGAGGCGCCCAGGGCCTCCACCGAGGACCGGCCCATGCGCACCAGCCCCTGCGCGGCGTGTTTTCCCCCCGCGTCGGCCTCTGGGGCTGGCTTCTACTGGGCCCATCTTCAACGACCACTACCATAAGTAGGACAGGGGAGAAGGGAGGATGGGCAGGTCCTCCTCCTCTTTCTTCTCCTCCTCCTTCTCCTCCTCCTCCTCCTCCTGCCTCTCCTACCTATAATAGTGGTGGTGGAAGATCGGCCTATCAACTTCTGCGCCACGGTAAGACGAAGCCAGGACGAAGATAAACTGAAAGCCTGTGAGATCTGGCGGCTCTGGAGGATGTCCCAGGCGCCGCGGCCTTCTCAGAGCAAGAGCTTTCCGGAAGCCCCGTCCTAGACGGCACAAGAGGCCTCCAAGACGTCCCAAGACAGCTCCAAGACGCCCAAGAGGCGCTCGAGAGGCAGGCAAAGACAGTGGCGTCCCTGGGGGTTTGACAGATTAGAACGAACTGGCCCGTTCGGGCTCCAAAACAGCCAAG